GTACAGTTCCAGAAGCATTTCCTATGATGTTAGCAGGACCACCAGCTGTGCCCAATACTTTATTATAAGCTGGATCCCCAGCAGGAACCGAGCCTGACTGTCCCTGATTTTTCCCCCCTACACCAGTTGAAATAAAATTTAGCAAACTACGAACCCAAAAAATGACAGAATCTGCATCCTATAATGTCCTTCATCCAATTATTTCTAAACCACTGGGAATAAGTTGGTAGGATCACATCAATGATGTGAAAGGATTCATGCATTTGACATCCAACATGATCCATCTCCATTACATTTCCCTAAGAAATTAGGGCCTAAAAGACAATCAATAAGCAGTATCAAAGCGAAGTAAGGATTTAAAAAGAGAGCATGGTCCAAAAATAATTAAGATCAGACAAAAAAGGCTTGATTTTTTAAACATGCAGAAACAACAACCAAACCATTTCTTCACCAAAATCCTAATTGACAGGAACAACTTCTTTTTCCTCTTTTGCCTCCAAGAATAATAAACTGTGAGCTGCTTTAAAAAGTAACAAACTGGTTTCTGCAATATAATTTGATATCAAGTTGATGTTATCTATCTGCGTGCCAAAATTTATCACTCTAGGGTGAAAAAAGCATATTAATCAATCCGTATCCAATTAAAGGAACTAATGAGTCATTAAACATCTCAGACAACTGTCCCTATCAATTCGCATGTAGAATATGGTGTCAGCATCGATACAAGATGACAGGCCAAGCAATTATTCATTAACAGGCACAATGGTCATCTGATAAGCATAAAATATAAAGTGATAACATATGCTACAGAGAGATTGATCCCAGGTAATACTTTCATTAATCAATATTAAGCCTGGTGAAAATCAATGTCATACCAGCAGTTGGTGTTCCCTCATGACGTCTTTTCCTTTTGGTTTGATCCACCTGCAAAAGATAAGCAGAATTATGTAGCATAATATCTTTAAGAAAAAAGATGTGGAAACAAATGCTGGTGGGAAGAGATAAGTCCTTACCCCTGATGTACTCCCATCACTTCCATCACTGGAGCCTTCGGTATCAATACTATTCACAAAGCAAACAAAGTTGCAAATAAGAAAAGACCCAACAGAAAATAGTAAACCATCTGAGTTGATGCATGACCAAGAAAATGCAAAGGCAAATTCAACAAACCTCTTGGACAACCCATGTTCACCTGCACCCTCAGCACTGTCTGTGTTGCCATTGCCTATTGACATTGCTAACCCATCAAATCCTTTCAACTTCTTCATTAGACTGCGATCCGTGATTCCTGATGATTTTGTTGGTGTCTCTATGCTCAAAGGGGTTGCAGTCTGCATTATTGCAATAGCATCATGTCCAAAATCAATGTGTATCTTCTGTCTATTAAAGAGAGTTACATTTCCAAAATAATATATCCTTAGTCATGTTCTTTCAAAATCTAGAAGTTTCACTTACAGCAGGTGATAATGGAACCCCATGGCCTTGCGAGTGTGATCCCTGAAAAGGAAGGTTTTGATTAATACATCAGAAATTTGTGTGGTTTGATAGTTAAAACCCCGCCCCTCTTAATAATATATTAGAATTAGTATTCACAAAGTAATGGAGAAAGTATCTTCACCATACAAAAACAAGCTTGGAATGGATATCCGACAAGGATATTTCGGAATCAGTATTCCAATATTGCCTGGTATCATCTACTCATTTTTTGAGAGGTTGGTAGGGTTACAACATTCCACTGAACTTCAATTTTTGGACACTAGAAAACAACTAATTATCTTACCAGTTGCAAATAAAAGTGGAATTCCAACAATTATTCCCACAAGGATAGATCATAACTATGAAATAGTATGAATATCAGCTCACCAGAGAAACTGCAGGATGTGCATAAACTCCTCCATGTGAATATATTGCTGCATAAGGCGCCCCATAAGGTGGCATCATAGGCTGTAATAATTAATTAGTTAACATACAACCTGACGAAGTATACACCAAATCCATCCAAGTCAGTGCACATAATAAAAGCTTCGAGAAATACCTGTGGGCCCCACATATAGGGGTGCGGAGGATGACCAGATGGCATAGCTGAATTGTAATATGGTGGAATTGGGACTCTGGGGCTGTAATATGCCTGGAGATGAAACAAAAAGCTTAAATCATTATTACCAAATTCTTAAACAACGAGAATGGATTTAACCATCAAACAAACGAAATATGTTTTAGCAAAGTATATTGGTCTGAACAGATGCCCAAAGTAGATAACCTGCATGGCTGCCCAATCAGGATAAACATGGATATTGGTCTGATCCTGTCAATGCAAAAGGATTGATGAATGCTCAGCTAAGAAAAACAAAGTTCAACTCCAAGGCCAAATACAGAAAAATAAACAATTGCCAAATGTACTAACTTGAATTATCAACAAACGGTAATGAAGGAAAAGCATTTTTCTTCCAATCACAAACAGACAAGATATCTCTAATTCTATTTCCAGCAGGGGAACACTAATAGTTTCTTGCTTACCGCTGGTGCTGGTGATGAAGATTTATCAGACTTCGAGGATTTTCCCTCTTCACTGTTCCCCATGTTCAAGCACCAAAGTAAAAGCTGTCAGCTGATTTAGAGAATACGAATGATACTTCACGTTTTCTGGTTGATGTTAAGAAATACAATCAGTGGAACAAAGGACGGGATTGTAAAGCTGCAAGTGGCGAGAAAAACGTGAGAAGCAGCAAAAAAAAGAGCTAAATAATCAAAATTAGAAAGTGAAATTAAATTTCCGCATGATATGCCTGAAAGAGATATTAAGTTTCTTCATGGATCAAAATATTAAAACTACAAGCCACAAAAAGGGGAAAAATGGGTCAAAAAGTTAGAATTTCCAAATCCTGCACATTTATGTAAAAATATGCTTTGGCTACCAGAGTCATCAAAATTTTGTCTAACCAAAAGGCAAAAAATTATACAATTAAGAAATAACCAGAACAATACCTTAATTTTTCTCTAAGAACGAAAACTGAAAGGTAGAATTAAGTTATCGTAAGTTAAGAGAACAAGACTGTTATTGGCAGCAAAAAAATGCTTAAAAGCACCCTACAAATACTTCCTTCCGCACAAAATGAAAAGAAGAACTGTAACTCATTAACTAGCGTACAGAATTCACAACTAATAATAACGTTCCAGTAATTACCATTAGAATTTTGCAGTTCTCCATAGATTACATCACTAAAATTATGGATGTTTTTAATCCTTGCTTTCACAGCTAAAATATAAAGCATAAACAAGAGTATTTTTTATTCTTGCTCCCTCTTTTAAAATAACAGAAACACTACAGTTCTATACATATCAATTTTACCATAGCCCACCAGAAACAAGGATGGATTAGAGGCCGTATTCTTTTCTTTTCCAAATTTCAACAAAACAAAAAATAGAAGTCACAAGAGAAAATCCCTTCCCATGCAAAGTGGGGTTAACATATTTTTTAACTAATTGAGAATATTTATCTGCATAATAGACCGGTTACTGAACAGACGATTCATATATTTATTAGGCAAAAATTAACCCACAACATATATATTGACGAGAAAACAGGGGTGTAAGACTATGGAAGCTAGCATATGATGGTGGACTAGTTCATACACCACCAGATTGCCTGTCCTCGGTTAAAAAGACAGTACTCCAAAAGAGCCAGAGGATGGATACTAGAGATCCAGGGATCTGAAGTCGGAAATTTTAAGGGCGGATGAGGGTGAAAATGTCTTATCGTCATCATCACCGATTACAACGAAGGGATGCATACAAGTCAAGGACGATGTCCAAGCCAGTACCACAAGGATAATATAGGGGCAAAAGGACGAATATACCCTCGAAACTAGAATTTGAGACACCTGCAGAACTTTTTGAACATGATGAAAGTTATAAATTTCGCAGAAACGTTCAAACAATAGACAAGAACTTATCCACAAACTAAGCGTTTAGATTAGTTGCTACAGTCCCAATTTTCATCCTCCAATTTCGTCATCTAATTTAACTTTCCCTCTCTGAAGGAGACACTTCTACAGATTTGAAGAAATATTTTTGACAAGAAAATCGAAGGTCACCAGAAAGGCAATATCAACGAGATCCAGCTAAGTATCGTCTGTTTGGATGCCGAGAAAACGGAGGGAATCTATTTTAGACAAAAGAAAGAGGAAAGAACTATAATTCCGAATTGTAAGTCTCATCTCCTCTAGTTCTGCTCCAACCAAAACCACGCTGAGTTGAGTTACGGAGTTCTCAGGTTAAAAATAATTATAAAAAAAAGCTTAATCGTTCAACATTCAATTTCTTTCAGTTTCCCACATTTCTCACCAGCCAGACAACACCTAACGGTCGAAATTCGTATGACCAGACATCTTGTCCAGGCCAATACTAGAACAAATTTCTTTCCTCTTGTACTTACCACCATTTTCCAAGCAACCAAACAAAACCTTGTACATTTGGAGACTTGAAAAACAAAATAAACTAAATCAACACTGTGAAACAAAACCAAGGAAGAAGAAATTTTTGCATTCAAAATTAACATACCTTGAACTCAGGAATCTCAACTCCCCTTCTCGTCACCTTCAAAAAACAAGCCAATAAGAACAAATTCGTCGCAGGATTCGATGCTTAAACGACGTTCAACAAGGAGACGGGATATAAAAAAAAAAAAAGAAAGAGAAATTAAAAAGAAAGAAGTAAATTAAGAAGGGAAAGAAGTCCTGGCTCCATGCATTTTCTTTCTATCCATCTCTCTCCACTTTCTCTCTCTTAAACAAACAAGAGAACAAAAAAAGCAGAGGGAAAAAGTCCGGTTTTCCGCAGAGAGAGAGGGAGAGAGGAGAGGGGGGGGGTGGAGAAGGGGGAGAAGAAGGGAGAAAGGGGGGAGCGCCAAGGCAACATCCACGTCATCAAACACGTGTCGTATACAGAAGAGATGTACGTATACAGCGTATATACGGAGGCTGGGTGGTTGTTGAGCTGGCCCATCGATATTCGCGCTGCCATATTTATTTATTCCAACGTCACCTGTACCGTACACGTGTTGGTTTCTGTGTCGATCTACGCGTCACTGGATAGGGTCCAACCTATTCCACCCGTCATGTGGCTTACGTGGTCTGTTTCGTTGGATTGTTTGATTATTTTAATTATAATATAAAAAAATATACATAATTTGAAAATAAGATTTAACCACAATGAATAGGTCGTTTGGAGTCCACGACTGGCCAGTCATTGACGACCTAAATGGGGTCTTTAACTCTCTAAGCCACGTCTCAGGATTTACATTTAAGGATTCATTGATATTTTCATGTCATTCTTTTTTCTTTTTTTAAAAAAATGTTTTTAACTTTTTGACGATGATTTGGCAAATTACTGTTCTGATTCAATAATTCCTTACTTAATTAATCTTAATATCACAATTATTTATTCTCACACGTGATTATGACTTTTTGACCTATTAATAGAAACCATACATTTGTGACAATTTTATTTCTAAAAAATCTAATTGATATTATTATCTTCCTTGAGTGAGAGCAGAGAATTTCTCATGGGTTTATAATGGTAATTTTCACAAGAGCCACGCATGCTTTAATAGTATGTAAAATTTCTTACAACAAAATTTAAAATTAATAAGAATTTTTTACCAATAATTTGAGTTACAATTAAATATTAGATGGGTACAACAAATGTAGGAATTCCTAACTATAAAGGAAATAAATTTATAAAGTTAATACGGAAGCGATTAATAAAATTAAAATTTATATTTTTTACATAATAATTTAGAATGGATAATAGGAGTACGAGAATTTTTCTCATAAAAGATAAACGAAAATTAAAAATATGAAACGAAAAGCGAGTAACTAAATATTTTATGACAACTTTCACTAGCACTTGAAGAGAGTCTAAATAATGAACTACTCACAACTCTCATACTGATCGAGATCTGGATCTTGATCCTCTTGATATGAAATAGTTAATAAAATTGTAAGTTACACTAACCCATTAAGAGTATTACGCTAATTATATATACGAAAAATTGAATATTAGTAAAAATTATAAAATAACTAATGAAGCACTTAATTTGAGTAAATTCATTTAATATAAATAAGACCGCTTATTCTAAACTTACCGTAACGAGTTTTCCAAAATAACTTATGAAGACTCATATCCATATCACTCTTTACTTTCATACATAAGAGAACAAAAAATAATAATTTTCCTTACTTACCTATTTACCGGTACCCCTGGGGGTCTATGGGGGTGCCTCATTTACTCATGAACCCAATAACCAAATTTAACAATTAAACGGCCATTCCCATACCCAGTCCGGTAATAGGAGCCAAACACTCCATCGCCTCGATACTCCGTCCGATATGAGGTGAATCATATCTCCAAACTTTCCCGGTAAGGACTTTCCAGCTCTGTCTGACTAGGTAACGTTCATGGTAGGTTTCCTATGTATTGGTTTGTCCACCTTTTTCTAGATATCCAGTAAGTCTTT